TGGAGTGTGATCAGCAGTCCACTAGCACGTATCAGACGATGTGGGCGGAGTGTGACCAGCAGTCCACTAGCACGTATCAGATGATGTGGTCGGAGTGTGACCAGCAGTCCACTAGCACGTATCAGATGATGTTGTTGGAGTGTGATCAGCAGTCCACTAGCACGTACGTATCAGATGATGTGGTCTATCTACATCATATACTAGCTAGGTCTATTGTGGTAACAAATTAGATGCTGTTATTGCGAAAATATGTTAATACTGCCCAGAGCGTTTTTCCTCCTCAGTGGTAACATGATTAAATTAGACACTGCATACTTTGCACACAGCTCACAGTACTTTGTTATACAGAATAGCAAATTTCAAGCAAAAATGTAATTGAAAAATTTAAAAATCCCTGAAATTTAACGAATTTAACGAATTAAAGGTAGAATCCGTTATGATGTGACTTTCAAGTGTTTATCAGCAGTACAGGTAAGTACTGAAGGCATGGGCCTTGAGGGTTAAGCCTCGGCCTTAGCCTAAAGGTTTGGGGGTTAAAGTACGGGCGTAGCGACCGGGGGTGTAGGCGGTGCTACGCCCCCCCCCGGAATTAATTCCATCGGCAAATAGAGCTTCGGTCGGCAAGTAACTAACGATATACATTGGCTGTCGTCATTTCCTCTGAAACTTTTTCCACAGCCTTTTTTTCCCGATAGTGTTTCTTATCATTTAAATTCCACTGTTACATATCCAACTACACAAAAATAAGAGATATCGCCAAAGTGAGCATGAGTGTGACAAATGCTTTTCAGAGATTTAGCTAAATTTTGGCCAACCCCAATTAACGTCATACTAAAAACAAATGTCAAATTCAAGTGGACTTGTTTATCCAGAGACTGCTTGAAGTAAACACAAACCTTTTAATGTTGGAATACAAATACACTTTAAACAACAATAAAAATGTAATAATAATGGTATCTCTAATGCTCAAAAAATGTTCTAATGTGCACAACGAATGACAGAAACCCTGCTAAAAGAAAGTATAAGTACCATAGTAATAGAAATTTTCCACGCAGTGCTATAACCACTACAGAGCATATACGCCATATACATTCACAATGGTTTGATTGGGCAAACTTGGTTTTGAACGTTTTGAAACTGTTTCCCAAGTGTAACAAAAGACTATCACGTGTAATTGTTTCATTTTCTAAGCTGATTGGGCCATATAAGTTCAGTGGGTACTTGTTTCAATATAAATTCAACGCTAGACGACAAAAACTTTGGGAAGGAGGGACCATTTACGATGATTTAAGAAGTTTCAAGAAGACCTTTCTTGTCATCGTGATGGAAATGCTCACTTCCTCCGGTTTCGGCAACGCCTGCCTGGTTAACAAACGCCTGCGGTCCTTCGGCCGTCTGCATCCCGGCTCCAGCGGGCCTCTTCGGTGGGTCTTGGCCCGGTACAGTGACAACCAACTGCTGGGGAGCAACGCCAGCCGGCTGTGGGGCAACATTCACAGGCTGCGGTGCTTGAATGGCAGGACCTCCAACGGGTTGGGGAGCGCAGGCATTTCCTTGGGGAAAATTGGCAACTTGCTGGGTGGGGGCCACATTGTAATTGGTCGCACTCGCACACTGCGGGCCAGCCGAGGTTCCTGCAATGATTCAACAGAGCAAGACAGATCTAATCAAACTTGATTCAAGTCTTGTGCAATATAGCTGTAGGGATTTGGTGATACGTTTCCTCTTTGATATGATCATACAGTTCGCTTCTCCAATAGAAAGTTGCCGTTACAAAATTCTCGGCACTGCCCCGTCAATGGTGTCCGTGTCACACCGTGCGCCATAAGAAAATAAATAATACCCTCATGATTTTTGTTTTGATATTGTAATAATTGCACAATGTGTAGCAACCTCTAAGAAACTACAATTGCATGAGTCAGTTTCATGGGGCATGAATTCACAGTAGGCTCCTGATTAGTTAGTTTTGTCTGTATTAACAAAGCGCAGAAATACATGAGTTCGCTAAAGCTCGTCCTCTTTTCGCGTCGCTTTGGAAGAGTTCAGACGATCATCCGATTGAAGCAAACGAGGCGAGAGCTAACCTTCGCTATTCTAGTTATAAACTGCATACAAGCCTGAGTTTCAGAGTAAGTAAGTTGCCAAAATAAAACCTCAAAGAACCATCATGGCATGTGAGAGGGGCGATTCTTTACTATCTAGGGAAAACGCAGGCTTCCTTCATAGCTACTTGTCGACAGTGCAGTGACACGTTTTGGGCATCAGTTCCACACTCAACGCTTCGCAGTACGATAAAGTGGGTGGGAACAATCCATCAACTCTCCAGCTACCTAACTTTTGTATATCCAAAAAACATCTGCAAGGAAATCAGCGGTTTCTGCTAGCAAGTTCAGGTTGTATTCGTTTTGACAATATCTTCCCGTGTAGTGGGAGGGGAGTGCGTGCTACGTCCCAAAATGTTGCAGTGCATTCCAAATCCAAACAAGACGGACACTCTCCTTCTTAGATGTTCACCTGTCAAGAAACCCAGACGGTAGGCCTACCCTCAACCGGTACCACCGTGTCCAGTACCTGCACCAGTGATCTTTCCACCGCCCAGCCATCAAGACCTCAGTCATCAACCGCACCCTCGTCCGCAGAGCCTACGAGATCTGCAACCAAAACAACCTACGCCAAAAACTCCACCACATCAAGTCCGCCCTCAAGATGAACGGCTACCGCAACCAACTATCCACCGTTCCATGCCCTCCCCCAGGACGTTAGTGTCACCTATACCCGAACCCCCCCCCATCCCCAAACGTCACAGTTTATCTACCGTACCTGGGCCCCACCTCCCACCAATCCCGGAGCATCCTGCAGTCGGCCAACATCAAAGTATACCATTCAGCACCCAACAAGCTGCAGGCTGCACTTCACAACCACACGGACAAGCACCAACCCAGCAGTGGCCCTGGTGCATATCGCATTCCATGTGAATGTGACCAAGTATACATCGGGGAAACCGGCACTAGACTTCAAGAACACCGGTCGCACGGCCGGCGAGGAGAATACGACAAGTCGGCCATCATCAAACATGCACACTCCACGGACCACCGCATCGAATGGGGCAAAACAGAGCTCATCGCCCCCATCCAGAACTGGTTCCCAAGGAGAATCCAAGAAGCCACCAAGATTTTCCGGCACAACAACGTACCTCAGGACATCGATTTCAAGCTCAGCGACATCTGGCGCCCACTACTAGCGCCCAAACATACACCAACTCAACACGAAACCCATACCCCCACCCCAGGCGTTAGGGTCTTCTCTATCCGAAGCTACCCCCGGTCCCCTCCCCCCTTGGCACAAGGGTCTCCTATACCAGATCCCAGGGTTTCCCGCCAATTCCGTCACCCCACACCGCCACAGGACCCAACACCCTCACGCAACAGCGCACACGCTGAGTCACACAACCCGCGAATCCGGTTCCACGCTCCACGATTACCTTTATAACCAGCTATCCACTCCAGTCCGGCACACTCTCCTGTTAACTCTCACCGGTTCTTTTAAGAACCACACCTCGCCCATAAGAGATTGATTCATGGTGTACCCGCAAACCCTTTTCTCATTCCAAATTTATTCCTATTTTATTCAGGTAAAACGACTTGTAGATAGGACAAAGTCACCACTTTTTTTTGGGGGGGGCGGGGATTACACTTCATGAACAACAAACCTTCCTTCCTATAACCTAACCGTACTTGTGCAAGGGATATTTGATGTGAGGTCGTGATATTAATAAAGATCTACTGATTTCATCAACGCTAAATTTATATACTTTTTTAATTAAGTCTGGTGTCCAGACACACATTTATTAGGAACGAAACGGCACATACATTTCGCTATGAATACAGTGTACCGTATTACACACCAAAGCATTTCGTCCGAATTGGTGCTTAGTGTGAAAATGGCTAAGTGATGTATAGCCGACACCAATCCTTCCCCTTCAGAGCTGAGTCCACAAAGCCTCGATTCTAAGCAGAAACCGAGTCAATTTGGGGTCAAGTCTGGAGTTAAGTCGAAGTCCCAATTGTCGAGTCCTAGCCAAATCTGAGTCCGGTCGTGAAGTGGTTGTTACAGCAACTTCAAATGAACAGCAGAATGATGGTCAGAACCAGTCTTGTAGTTGAGTACTTTCCGAGTACCAACGTTCTCCGCAAAATACTGAACTGGGTAAGAGGGAATAAAGCCAGAGTGCACAGGCATTTGATGGTAAATGTGCAGAGGTAAGATTACAAAATAAATGTTAGACTTCAGACACTCCCAGTTGGGTAAAATTTAAGTTTTAAGGAGAAAAGTACTCGGAAAGTACTCGGCCGAGTACTTTCCGAGTACTTTTGTCCTAAAAAGTTAATTTTAATCAAACAGTGATGGTCTGAAGTCATTATGTTGCTTTGTAATCTTACCTTTATGCATGTACCATCAAATGCCGATGTACTTCAGCTTTGTTCCATCCTAACTAGTTAAATATTTGGTAGAGTACTTAGTTCTCAAAAAGTACTCGACTACATCACTGGTCAGAACAAGGAGATTGTACACTGAGTGAATGTTTCACCCAGGAAGCATGCGAGGCGGCATACTGAGTAGTACTAAGCCACAAGAAAATAGGACTCGAGTGCGAGTCCAATACTCCGTTTGAAACCATGGCTAAAAATGATGTGATGGTCCTCTGACAACCATAGACAGGTCATTTTTTTCTCAAATATCAAAGAGTCCCTGTCAATCTACTGTGAGAAGTCGGTGCGTCTGGTTCGTTATGTGTGCTTTGCATCATATGCATTGATCTTTTGGAGTCACCTCTGCACTAGAGAGGTTCCTAAAATAGTACTGGATCGGCCTGGATGACACCTACCTTTAGCGGCAGCAGGCATCCGCACGGGCTGTTGCTGGAGTTGCTTCTGCACATTCATGTCTGCTTGTTGCTGTTGTTGCATGGTCGTCATGGGTACAAACAGTGCATTGGCTGGTTGAGGCACGCACTGCACCTTTGAATAAAAAAGGCGTATTCCAAATTTAAAACTGTAAGCTTTTATTGAAAGCAACAACTCTGTAAGTCTGGAATGTGGCGCGACTGATTTGTCATTCGGCAATATGGTCCCAATGTAGATGAGTCTACTGGCCTTTGGTCATGTGCACGTTATTGACTCGGATTTCATTTAGGATCCAAGTGTCTTTTTGGAAACATTTCAGAAGTCATGAAAAACAACTTGAAATCAAATCATTGATGGTGGACATCTACTGTTTTCGAAACGAAAGCAGACCACATACCGTAACTGGGGTGTAGGAGTTGCAGCACACGCAAACGCCATAGCAGGACATAGAGGCAGTCACGATGCTGATGATCATCTCAGCCAGGCCGAGTATGGCCAAGAGCGAATCAACGGCTTGACGAGATGGCTGTGAAATCCACAACGAAGATCGTGTCAGGTGAAGGCAACGGAAGCAGTCGAAACCAAACCCAGCTCCCCTAAAATTAAGATGTGTCACTGGTTGCAAGTTGTTGGTACAACGCCCAAGATGATGACATAGAGAACCCACCAAGAATCAGAGGGCGACTCTGACAACGCCAGGTGGTGCAATGTACGTGCCCGTAAGAAGTCAACATTAAGCGGACCAGCCTCATGACAGTTGATAAGTAGGAGGAAGGTGGAATGGTCCCCATTATAAGTAAAGCGGACGAGCACACTCAAAATATCCAAGAAACAGGTAAACAGTAAATGACGTCTGTCTCGTACATTACGATTTGTTTACTTAACTAAAGAAAGTAGTTAAGTAATAATACAATGAAAGCGTGATCACGGTCAACAGTTTCCTAAGAAGACGAGTTCGTTATTGTACACTGCAGTACGACAACACACGATACAGATCGTAACAATGGTCACATTGTGCACCGCCTCCAGACATAGGGATGTAGTGACGAAAAATACCAATACAGGACTCTTTCTAGGCCCTGTAATTGGACTGAGCACGCTTTAATTAAGGGGACCATGAAAGAGAAATAATTTTTTTGGGGTGCAATGCCAAATACGATGTCATTCAGGGCGCTGAACATATCAGTGCTGCACCAATTTGTGCACAGAAAATTTCTAATTTTTTTTAAACACTGCGCTTTCGTACATTTCAATTCCTTTGGCAGTTTATTATTATGTGGGTAATAGGCAATAAGCCAGGAAGCAACCTTTTCACAGAAAAGTTGTCAAATAGTAAATTTGGAGTTCATAATTGGAACATGGAAACATGCAAACTGAACCATGTCTTTCTGGGTTTAAATCATAGGAAAAGCGACCTCATTTGTTCAGAAATGCTTGTTCAATTTTGAACGTTTATAAAGTGCGCTTTTCAGTTCATGTAACTTAGAAAAGATTTCAAACCGTCTGCATAAATTGAAGAAGAGTACACAGATACATAAAAAGTGATTCTAAGAAAATTAATTTCATGGATCCTATAAAATCATTTAACGAGGATCTATTGGAGGGCAAGTCTGGTACCTGCAGCTGCCGTAATTCCAGCTCAAGTTGCTGCAGATAAAAAGCTCGTGGTTGGATCTTTGTTATATAGGCTATAGGGGTCCACTGCAAAGTGTGGAACAGGCCGCCCGGCCTATACGTATGCAGCAAGGTATGAGACGGAGAGAACCCCCCCCCTGCTTTGTGTTGGTCATTGTCTTGCAGGAATCTGCAGAATTCCTTTCAGACATCTTGGGGGGGATGTGTTAAGTAACAATAGTCTGGAATGTGTATGGGGATTGGACATGTTTTGGGGGGGTACCCCTTGGTCTCATTTCTTGCTGGGTATACGCCCGGCCTTCCCCTCGGATTCCGCTCGGTTTTCTTGACTGAGTGGGGGGCGCGACCGCAAAAAACCCCCCAAAAAGGAGCCTTCAAAGCAAGCCAACCGCCTGGACAACAGAGTATGGAATAATGGACTATGACCTCGGTTCTGTTGCCTTGGATTTTGGAACTCGGGGAATAAACGATTAAAAGGAATTGACGGAGTAACCTCCATATAAACAAGAACAGGCAGATTGCTTTTCTCATTATTATGATCAAACGTTTCTCGCGTGGGGCGAAAGTGACCACAATGTTTGCGGTGGATTTGCCTAGGGGTGAATACCAGGTTTTCTACTCTACGAAAAGAAATTTAAGAGGATTTTTCGACTTTGGGAATTCTTCGCAGTGAGGAAGCGTCCTTCAAAAAGCAAAACATACAGTCGAAATTCGAGTAGAAAGTGTTCACAGAATTATAAAATGCAGTTTTTCGGGGTCATGACCAGGCAAAGAGTAGGAATGCATGCAGAAGGTACCCACAGACTTTTTACGGCTGTAGTATTGGTTGGTGTGTGTCAGTAACGCAAATTAAACCTAAAAGAGCCGGGTTATTTTGGCCCATATCATGGCCGGGGAGGGGGGAATCCCACCCACAGAACTAGGCTGTGCCTCTTTCGATTTTTTTACTTAACATGCTTAATAAAGCAATTCCTTATCATTAGAAATGTGAGGTTTGAACATAATCAGACAGAGAGTTTTGTTGTTACAGTCACTTGAAGTTCAAGGCTCACAATGCATGCCAGGCTGCGTTCATTGAGCACTGCAGTGGAAAAAAATTTAACATTTATTGCTGACCCGTCTTGGAAAATGGGCGCTGCACAAGAACGGTATCTGGTTCGTGACTTCATCACAATGGCGGACGCGCCACGATTAGCAAAGGTTCCCATAAGATGATCGCTGAAGTTGCGCGAACCGATATTCGACTTGTTAACGAGTTACTCTACAAACTCGTCAAGGCTTTACTCCTAAAAATGTGTGCTGTTTGAACTGTTGCGTTGTGGGGAAAAATGTAGAGCCCCTAGCTTTTCTTAGGGTTGATCTTAAATTGGTGTGACCTGGTTAATTGAATTGAAAGAGCAGTGGTAGCTTTATTTTGCTTTCGTAAGTTCCCCATTACGATGGGTCACTATAGAATGAATCATGCCCTTTTACCGGTCCAACAACACACGGAACACTGTCGTACGACCGTCCGGGATCTGGATGACAATCGTAACCGGAGTCGATAGCGATCCCGACGGCAGAGGCAACCAGCAACTGGAAAGCTGCCACTGCTGTTAGTATGGACATCACCATCACTGCAATAACCTGGAACGAAAGCAAAAATGAGAAATCGTCATAATTCAGCCACAGGTGTGGGCTTTCCCGGTGTCTGACTCCACCTCAATTTTGCGTACAATTTGGTATTCTTGTTACAACGGGGAAAAGCTGCACGTGGAGGTGATCGGTTTCTGTTGAAACGTGTGGTTCCTTCTTATGCGTCGCGCGTGCACTATGCAAGTTCCCACCAGCCTGTCTCTCGTTTACCACTGTGAGACGGAGCTTCCAGTCAGATACGATTTAGAAGAAAGCTCCTTTGTTCAAAACAAGAAGCCCCAATACAGTTCGAAGTCCAAAGTTCCAAGCGGCCTTCGGCCAGCAATGAGCCCCGAGCTAGACCATGAGAGGGCGTAACTTTCCTGGTTACGGAGGCTCCTTTGGTGGGAACTGCACTTGTTCACAAACGGCCATAAATGCACGCGTTACGGTCGCGTCGCTGCCAACAAAATGAACACTCCCTACCAACATGGCTCTTTTCAACCAATGACGGGTTGCTTCTGCTCAAGGCGGATATGGTCAAGCAAGCTGCAACACTCCCTAATTGCTGCCTTGAAAGGTTCAAAATGCCATTTATTGGAAAGGAAAGAATCATATCTTACCATGCATTTGTTGCTCTTTTTAAACTCAGCGACCAAACCCAGAAATCCAGCAAAGGAGAAAAACTACAGAGACACAGAGACCAAATCACAAACAGGCAGCAATTACCTAAGGGCATTACAACAACGAATTCATTGCATTCTGCCAGTCTGTGTTATAGTTCATAAGCTTACTATTGTGCAAAGGTCGACCGCTCACCACCATCAAATAAAGCTCTGAACACACTCAGTGCATTGTATATATTACTTCTTTTTTCCCATCATTTTTTAGAAAAAAGTTCCAACAATCTTCTGTTCCATTTTTCCACAAAAACGGGGAAACAATTACATGTATTTTTAATACATTTTTCATTTTTTCACAGAATTTTTTGAATATTCATTTCTATAAAACCACGGACTTTCCATTAACACAAAGTCGTAAAATCACAGATTTAATTTAAAGGGTTTTTTCCCTTTTGTCGTTTTTCCGGACACCATTATGGGTCATTCCGTGAATAAAAGAAAACCAGGAGACAAACTAATAGGGTAACAGAAACAAATGCGGCTAATTCTGCTGAAGGAATTTATTTCGCTTTGTGTAATTCTTTTATTCTTTCAAAGTGATGTTTTCTTTCGAAATATTAACATAGTTATAGAAGAAAATGTTTGGGGAGATTGGAATTCAATAATGATAATTAAGACAATAAGACCAAATACATGTAAACGTACATGACCAATCAATTTACAGTGGTACATGAACCCCCCTAAAAACGAATCGAACCGAAATTCAAGTCTTTTGCTATCGGTACTAAAATGGGTCATATTTGTAATACAAGTATGCCAAGCAACTTTATATCCAAACAAAATATTTCACAATTTAAAGTATTTCACATGACGTGTTATCCGTCCCCATATATGACACGTAAAATGACATACATAACAACGACATAATTTCTTACATAGTCATGTTGTCAAAAGACTGCAAGGAAGTGCTCGGAAAACTGTTGTTTGCGTAACGAAGTCTCTGCAAGGAACAGGGTTTAATAATAGTCTTATAGCAACTCACGAGGCTCCCCTGTCAGAGCAATATCGATTGATTTCCATGTCCCCTTTCAACTTCAATGTACGCAAGGAAAATGCAATCGACGCCACTCACCACAAGTCCACTCCAGATTCCCCATCCAGCATACGAAGAACTGCAGCGAATTATTATGGCAACGATCCCCAAGAGAGTACTCAGACTCCCCAGCACGATGTGGACTATCGATAATCCCATCAGTCCGGGAACCTTCTTATAGGATGTGTTGGGTCTAGGGCCATTTCTCAATGGCTGGCCAGACTGCTGTGTGATCACAGCGGGCTGGGTCATGATGATCGGCTGGAAAAAAGGTTACTTAAGTGCAGTTAAACCATAGAGCAAGGTCACTTAAAGCATCTGGATGAATACAAAATGGTTCTCATCACGTGGCACTTTGTCGCTGCCGTTATGACGACTTTCACATAACAACTCATTACAAACCTGAGCAAGAAACATTAGGCCAGTTAACACTGATTTACAGGTTTACATCAGTCAGGCTGCAAAGAAAATCATAGGGATGGGGAATTTGGATTGTAAAAGTATATTTCATGAATTTCGAGTGTTTACATGCAGGTTTGTTTTCACAGCTTCTGTATTTTCACAGCCAGTACAGCTGACATTATTCCCATTTCAAAATGTGCACTGTCAGGGTATAGACCAAATTCGCTTACGCCATCAAGGCGGTGTCACTGTCAATCAGGCTCGCGTGGAGGGATCCCAATGCGACGCTTTCAAGCGTCGATCTGC